TTGCTGGGATAGTCTAGAAAATTCTGGAGAAGAAATTTCTCTCTTGAGGGAGAAAGGAAGCAAGCACTTTCTTAGGTTCCTTGTGATGACTTGTAAATAACCAGGCTGGTAGCAAACACCACAGAACTCTCTGTTCCATTTTCTCTGAAAGCTGCTTGCAATGAATTAAGCTGATGTGCTCCAAATTCCCTCATTTAGGTTAAGTGCCTTATCCCCCATCCTCTCCATCTAGCCCACTGACAGGTCTCAATAAATGTTGAGCAATAATCATTACAGCTAAATGTTCAGAGTTGCTGATGTCAGCACAGGATATTAGCTGCCAGGAATTCAAACGGTAGGAATCACTGCTAGCCCATATTATTTCTACTAAACCCAGGGCAGGAAAAGAAAAAATCCAGGGGAGAGACGATCCAAATTCAAGCCAGTGGTGCAGTGGTATGATTTATAGTACCCAATTGCTTTACCACATTAGGTTTTCACATCAAGTATGGGAGCTTAGTGCAGAAATCTGCTGAGTTTCAACCCGCCTAAACTAACAATTTAAACCACTTAAGTGAACTCTCCCAACTGTAGTCTGGAAGTTTCAGTAGTTGTAAAAAAAAAAAAAAAATCTCAAATTGGGTTAAAAATATTTGCAAAAATAAAATCCATAAGGCAGAAATATTTTTCTTTGGGGGAGGATGGTGTAGTTTCTAAGAAAATCAGATTGTAAATAATTTTGTAAGCATGCTATCAACTCGATTTTGAGATTTAAATACAGAAATAAGGGAAGCCCTTATTTTGTGGGTTCAATCCCTGGGTAGGGAAGATCCCCTGGAGGAGGAAATAGCAACCCACTCCAGTATTCTTGCTTGGAAAATCCCATGGACAGAGGAGCCTGGCGGGCTACAGTCCATGGGGTTGCAGAGTCAGACATGACTTAGCAACTGAACCACTTCCACCACTATTGTATATGTGCTCAGCCTGACTCTTTGTGACCCAGTGGACTGTAACCCACCAGGCTCCCCAGTCCATGGTATTGTCCCTGGCAAGGATACTGAAGTGGATGGCCATTTCCTCCTCCAGGGGATCTTCCCAAGCCAGGGACTGAACCCTCATCTACTTGCATTGCAGGTGGACTCTTTTCCTCTGAGCCACCAGGAGGCTGTGTGGTAACTTCTTAGGAGATATGGGTTAAAGTTCTGAATATGTCACTAATTAGTTGTAAGACTGAACAAGTTGTTTTAACTTTTCTAGGCTATGTACACTATAACTGGAAAGTCCTTTATCAAACAAAACGGCCCCAGACTGTGTATCCAGAGAGTAGGAAAACTGTAGCTGAGAGAGATGACATGTCTTGCCTTATCAGTCAGGGCTCATTCAGGAAAATGGAGACCTCTTTAGACCTCTGAAAGAGAGGCAATTTCATATAGAAATTTCGTTATGCTGGTGGTAGAAAAGCTGAGAAGCCAGATGACAAGGTTAAAGGACATCCAGAAATTAACCACAGAAGGAGGATGCAACCACTTCTGTTCTGGAGTATAAGAGAAAGAGCTGGTACTACCAAGGCCCAGAAGCTAGTGGGAGCCAGAACCACAAGTGAGGGGCTGTGTGGAGGAAGTAGGAGGAGTAGAACCCCTACTGGAGATTCCATAGGAAGCAGAGGGACATTGAGGAGAGCTACACTGGTTTTCCGCATTCTCCTGCTCTTACTCTTGCCAATGCCTCCTGGCACTTCCCCAAAAGTACCTGGAGGCAGCTTCCAGGGAGCCTGGGAGGTATAGTTTCCTGAGATACAGACTAGAGCTGAAAGTAAGAGACTAGATCTGAGAGCAAAAAGGCAGTTGAATAGTATATTTGCTTAAATGTCATCATCTATAGCTTTTGTCTAAGGCACTGGGCTTAGTGTAGGGCCTGGCACATAGTTTAAAGAAAAATCCACAAATTTGTGTGTATTTATATAGTACTATGTTCAAGTCACTATTTTAAGTATTATAAATGTATCAATTTGTTTAACCTTAATAGCAATTCACAACCCTAAAAGTTGGGTATTTCTTCCCATTTTTGACATGAGGAAACAAAGGTTCAGAGAGATTCATTAACAGCAAGTAAAAGAGAGCCAGGACTTATGGACAAAACAACAACAAAAGTGTGACTTTAAAAGACCTCTCTTGGGGAATTCCCTGGAGGTCCAGTGGTTAGGACTCAGGTCTTTGATTGCTGTGGACCCAGGTTCAGTTCTTATCTGGGGGACTAAGATCCTATAAGCCATGTGGTAGCCAAAAAAAGAGGAAAAGAAAAGAATTTTTCTCTTAACCACTGGATATGCTGCCTCTTGACAAATTATAATAATAGACACTCAATAATCATTTAAAGAATGAGTGAAGACTAGGGTCCTTTCCATTTAAAACCCTTATGATTTTCATATGTAAACATGAGAAGAAAATCAATTTAAAGTGAGTTGTATAATCAACTTAGAAAATCCATGTTCCTGAAAGTTCACTTATAGACTGAAGATTCTTGGGATATTTATCTTGTCATGACTCAGTTACCTAGAATGGCTCCTAGTTATTATCAGCACTCAAAAACATTGGTTGAAAAAAATAAAAGCTTTGATCCAGGCACAGCTAATCATTTAACATTCCCTTGGAGAATTCTGCTAGTCCTTTTCTGCTTTCCTGCTCCTAGGGACTTTTCAAGTTACTTCACTGGAAAAGTGAAATCAATCCTCAAATAAACTTTATTGAATTTTCTTTTAAGTAACATGGAAAGTTTTAGATGGCACATGGAACAGAATCTATGAATTCTCTATTCAATAGCTACTCCCTTTTTTCTCTTAGAAACAAAAATCCAGTTTTAGAGGTATAGTCATGTGATCAGCTAAAAGACAACAATTCCCAGTCTCCCTTGCAGATAGGCAGTCATGTGACTAAAGTTCTGGCCAATGAGATGGAAGTAGACTCTAGGACTTATGGGCAATAACTTATTACACTTGCTCTTAGCCAAAAGGCCGAGAAGCAATAGGAGATAACTTATTAATGGGAGATAATTCAGATTGGGGACGTCCATTCCCATCCCCCCCCTTCCTTTCTCCCTGCCTCTCTCCTTTCTCCTGCTCTTTCTCCAAAGGATGAAAGCCATAGGTTAAGTTGTAGAGAATACAGATGGAAGGAGCATGGGTCTCTGGTGATCATGGTTCACCAAGCACTGGGAACCATAACGTTCAACTTCTTTCATATGAGAGGAGTAAATTTCTATGTTGCTTAAACCACAGTTATTTTGGGTTTCTGTTACAACAGATGAACCAATTCTAACTGATAAAGAAAAAACAGCCCCAGGCTGTCCTGGGAACAGAAAAAGAAGAAGACTTTAAAAAATCTAAAAAAAATTTTTTTTTTCCTAAAAAGAAGATATTAGCCAGGACAGGACTAACTCCAGAAGGCAGGCTGAGCCAAGGCCCTGGAGGCCATCAAAGTGTTAAAAGACAGGAAACCAATATTTGTGCTTCCTTACCCCTCCACAGAACACAAGGAAAACTACCCACACTCCAGTGCTCTGAGGAGGAAGTAAGACCTTGAGGGAAGTTCTTCTCAGGAAATAGCTGTCACGTATTTATTCAAGTAAATATGTTTGAATACAAATAAATATGTATGAGAGAAGTCGTATGCTGCCTCACAGGTTTCAGACACCAGGCACGTGTAAATGAGTGAGAAGAGCCAGACCCATGCTGCATATTAAATGGGAAGGAATAGTTCTTACCTCCAAAGATATATTGATCTCATCTCCTTCTTAAAATATACATAAACCCTCTTGGTTTTTCACTTTTCTACTTTTGAAAGAAGCATGGATTCAAGAAACATATCATTTTCCCTCTTAACCCCACTATAAGAAAAACAACAGAAACTTATTGATAAAGAACAACAGACACTCCATGGAAAGAGACTAGAGAGCAGTGTGGACTGGGCTGAACTGGGGACAGTGATGTCCAAGTGGTGTCCATAGGGATACTGGTTACTCAGATCTAGCCAATTATTGCCAAATGGAATTTGTGTTTAGTGTTGCTAGATTTTTCAATTTCTCTGGCGAACCTAGAAATTTAAATTTTTATGTGAAAATTTCACAATTTTTAAATGTTAGTAATTAATTCACTTGATGACAAAATAAGATATTATAGTAATGACCTGATTTTGGAAGCTGTCCTGAAGCTTATGCTTTAGAACAATAGATCTTAGTCTCCACTGTACCTTAGAATCACCTGTGGGTGATTTAAAAATATATAAATAAAAGTTTTAGTGTGATATATTTGTTTAGAAATGGGTGAAAAGTAGACACATATATATTGCTTGTATGTGTACAAAAATATAGATTCTTTAGTGTGATGTGCTTATTTATTTAAAATGTATATATATGTATATATACAAATACTTAAATACGTATAAAATACTTCTGGAAGGATAAGCAAAAAATTAATAACATAGTTTGCTTCGGATGAGGGGCACTGCATAGCTGTGGGCAGACACAGGAGGGAGAGCTGCCAGGTAGTCCTTTGACATGTTTGGAGTCTTGAACCATAAGTGTGTGATGTGTTCCCTTTCTACACATACACGTGGAAGGCATTACTCTTTTCCCTTCTGCCTCACCAAAATTTTGGTTCAGTGGGCCCAGAGTGGGCATTGAACACCTGATTTAAAAGCAAACAGTCACACAAACAAATCAACCCCTTGTAGGTGATATTGGCAAGTATCCCTGCTTAAGAATCCTTGCTGGTGGAAATAATAATATTCCTGCTCCAATCTGCCAGTCACCACACATATTTGGTGGGATGGGATAAGATGAGAAGGCACATGCTTCTACCTGATGGTTGTCCTCAGGTTGGAAAAGCAGACTGTTTGCCTAGCCTGGACATCCTGAATCCAGTGGACTAAAGGGAAGTCCTCCAGGCTACCTACTCTCCCTCCTCACTCAGGATGGGATGACATGTTTCTTGTACAGAATCTGTCAGGAATGAGGAAGGACATTACCTGATGAAGGATTATGTAGATGAGGAAGATGTGGGGGCCCTGATACTTCCTGGTGGCCAGATCTGCTGGTGAGCAACCTGTCTAGCAGCTTGTCAGATGAAGACCTAGTCCAGGCTTTATAGAACACCGGGTGAGAATCACCTTTCCAAGGGTTATCTAGCAATGCCTGGCAGCCAGTTCTGTTATTCAACAAATCTTGCTCACTTCGGCTTTTCTGAGATCGCTGGGCCGCATGATGAGTACCAGAGCTCAGGCCAGGATGGGAAGTGGCCCCCTGGGAGGCTGTCAGGAAGTTATGGCCCAGGGTGATGGGTGGGAGGCTCTGTGTTCTGATTGGTGGAAGCCCTTTACGGGCCAGAGGCTTCTTTTCTGGCAAGTGATATTTTGAGTTTTCTGAGGTCCTCTTCTTAAAGTCAACCATAGCCACCTGCTCACCAGGCTGCTCTTGGCAGTTGGTATCCACGTTGCTGTCGAAGGTGGTGATGATGTCATCGACTTCCGAGGTGTGCTCCCCTCTGTGCCAGTCCCTGCTGGGGTCCTTCTGATAGGCCCTCTGCTCTTCCTTTTTGTTCTTGCAGAAGATTTGATTGAGCATGCTGAACCGTCCCTCCTTCTTCTGGGGTCTACTGTTCTGGGCAGGAAGGGGTCTAGGAGGCTCTGTTCTACAGGAATATAAAACAAGGATGCTCTGTGAGAACAGGAAGTGGCGCAACAGCAGTCATCAAACAAAAAATACCTCCCTCTCTTCCACCTCCAGAAGGAGATCATTCAAAGCCATTCAGCGCCCTCTCAAGTTAAAGGTGATATGCGAAAGCTACTCACAGCACCCTTTGCCACCCACTTCCCTGCCATGGTCAGTCCACTGCCCAGAATTAGAATATTTCTTGGTTAGATTTTGCTTGTTCCCTCAGGAACTATCCTTTCAAATTTTGTTTTTGCCAGGGGATCAAGTAAGCGGAAAATACCAAATACCTTCAGGGGTTACTGTTCTTATTTCTTAAGGCCAGTCAGTAGGAGTGCCAGCTTTAAGTCAAAGAAATAAAGGCCAAATGTTGTGTTCAGGCTTTAGCTAGCAGCTGGGTGGAGGATGCAGAGCTGGGGGAGGGGAGTCTGATTTTTTTTCAGGCGTTCTCTGAAAAGGCTCCCCGGAGATAAGGGCAGAGCTCTGACATTATCCACCGCAGGAAGCCTGCCCATTTTACGCTGTTTGTGTGTTATTTATTTCCTGTTGAGTTTTTACTAAATTTCCCATTGAAAAACACTTAAAATAAAGCATATTAAGAAAGCCAAGGAGAGAAGCTTTTGTCTGGGCTTGGGCTGCGGAACAGGAAGTGTGCATGCCAGAATTTGGGCGTGGCAGCAGAAGAAAAGTGAGCAGTGTCCAATGGGCAGGCAAATTCTGCAGGGAAAAAGATCTGCAGTTGGCTGGCTGGCTCTTCTTGTGTGGAGTTTCCCTGAGGCACTATGCTGTTTTTGTTGCTTGGAAATTTCTGTGTCATTCTCTTTTGAGGCCACAATTGATTTAGTGCTTTCTGCGGTATGGGTTAATGATGAAACCGGACCTGTGTGCATGCCCTAAAAGCAATATTGCAACATTACTCTTTGCAGTGAGATATTGTAACCTGTGGTTTGAAAAGTATCACTCCTCATTTTGGCCACATCTGATGAAATTTTTTCTTTTTCCTGTAGGTCACGCAGTGTATAATTGAATCTTTATTCCTGTGACGAATTTTTATCTTCCTCCTTTCACCTTCCAAAAGACTTTGTGAAATATGAAACAGATTCTGCACTCCTGACACTACCAGAGAGAGAACCCCAGGAGATCTCTAGCATTCCTGCAAGTTTTCCCATATAGAATTATGCCCCTGTGCTAACTAAATTAACTAAATGCTAATGCTACTTCAGCATCTTCTACAATCAACCTCCTCTTCCTATTAAGGTTGTGATTTTGGCCAGTGGGTCTCAAAGTGTGGTTCATTGAACCCTGGAGGTGAGGTCTCTGACAGGCTTCATGAAGTTAAAACTACATCATAATAATATCAAGATGTTGTCTTTTTCACTGGACTGCTTTTTACACCAAGCATGCAAGAGAGAAAATGGGTAAAACAATGGGCTCTTTGGCACAAATCAAGGTAGTAGTAACAATAGACTTTCATTAAAACAAAATTGCCATTTAATTTAATAATGCCCAGTAAAAGTTATTCATTTTACTAAATATTGATCCTTGAGATGCATTTTTTTTTTTTTTTGGACAAAATAGAAAGTACTCATAAGCAATTCTGTTATATACTGGTATCACCAACTCAATGGACATAAGTCTGAGCAAACTCTGGGAGATGGTGGACTACAGGGGAGCCTGGAGTGCTGCAGTCCATGGGTTCACAAAGAGTTGGACATGACCGAGTGACTAAACAACAACAACCCTACACTAATATATGATGGATGTTTTAAGGTAAAACATTTGTGGAATTGTTTGAGTGGAACTAGATACTTTTTTCCCCCATGAAACATCATTTCAATGGCTTCTAGGCAAGCTATGGTTATTTGGAGTTGGGCATTTAATTTTTCAAAAATGAACAGAGTGAGTCTGTCATTTCAAGGTAAACAATTGACAGTAATTGTTGCCAATGACAAAAATCTAACTTTCATGCAAAAATTAGAAATTTTGGAAAATTTGTATGCATACTTTGAGCTTGATAGCTTCCTGATACATAAAACCTGTTCTGATGAGATCAGTGGTGACATTAATAAATGTGATTTTTTTTTCTAATGTTGTAAAATGAAATGTATTATTTAATGGAAGATCTTCATAACTAAGCAAACCAATGTTCTTCAAATGACCAATGCAAGATATAAAATCATGCATAGGTATAAGACACATTTAAGCTGCTAGAGAGATGAATGGATTTTAATGTAACAGAATTCAAAAAGTTCACTGATAAGGTGACAAAGTCCACACTGCAACTAATCTTTGGGAAACTATTAGATTGGTACAAAAATAATTGTGGTTTCGGACCATAAATTTTAAGTCATTATAACTAGGCTCAAACCGATCTTTATTAATCACAATAAGAACTATTACAATCAACACATTTTTGCCAATGAGAAATAAGTTTGTTTATTCCTGTAGTGTAAAAATCCATGCTTCAGGATTCGATGAACCGTTGGAAAGCATCTTCTGCCTCCTGCTGACTGTGGAAGCATTTCCGCTATAAAAAGTTGTTGAGATGCTTGAAGTGATAGTCGGTTGGCAAGAGGTCAGGTGAATACAGCAGATGAGGCTAAACTTTGTAGCCCAATTCGTTCAACTTTTGAAGTGGTGGTTGTGTGACATGTGGTAGGGCATTGTCATAGAGAAAAATTGGGCTCTTTCTATTGATCAGTGTTGGCTGCAGGCATGGCAGTTTTCAGTGAATTTCATTGATTTCCTGAGCGTACTTCTCAGATGCAATGGGTTCATTGGGATCCAGAAAGCTGCTGTGGATCACTCGAGCGGCAGACCACCAAACAGTGACCACGACCTTTTTTTAGTGCATGTTTGGCTTTGGGAAGTGCTTTGGAGCTTCTTGGTCCAATCACTGAGCTGGTCATCACTAGCTGTCGTCTAAATTTCACTTTTTTTTGCATGTCATAATCTGATCAAGAAATGGTTTCTTGTTGTTGCATTGAATAAGAGAAGATGACACTTCAAGATGACAATTTTTTAAAAAAAAATTTCCAGTCAGCTCATGAGGCATCCACTTATTGAGCTTTCTCACCTTTCCAATTTGCTTCAAATGCCAAATAGCCGTAGAATGGTCAATACTGAATTCTTTGGAAACTTCTCGTGTGGCTCTAAGAGGATCAGTTTTGATGATGGCTCTCTGTTGTTCATTGTCAACTTCTGATGGTCGGCCACTGTGTTCCTTATCTTCATGGCTCTCACGTCCTTTGCAAAACTTCTTGAACCACCACTGCACTGTACGTTCATTAGCTGTTCCTGGCCCAAATGGGTTGTTGATGTTGCAAGTTGTTTCTGTTTCTTTGCAGCCCATTTTTAACTCAAATAAAAAAATCATTCAAATTTGCTTTTTGTCTAACAACATTTCTATAGTCAAAATAAATATAAAAGAAACAGCAAGTAATAAGTCATTAGGAAAAAGATAAAGTGAGAAATGCACATTAGAATGTTGTATAACATAACCACATTTATTTAAGAATGTACCCCAATATCAATGGCAAAGTTCAACAGTGTAAAACTGCAATTACTTTTGTACCAACCTAATACTACTTGTTAAGTTTTGGTGTAGTATCAGAGGAAAAGTATCCATAGTTATCTCAAAAGTCTATTGAAATACTCCTCCCTTTTTTACCTATGTGTCTTTGTGAGGCCAGATTATTTTCATACACTTCAGTCAAAACAGTCACATTGCAGTGGGTTGAATGCAGAAGCAGATGTGGGAATCCTGCTGTATTCTATTAAGCTTCTATAAAGCTATCAAGGAGACTTGAAGAGCAAAGTAGAATAAAGCTGCTCTTTTCATCATACTTTTTCTGGATGGTTTTGAAGAATAATTTATTTTTAACTAAAAATATGGTATTAATCTTAACTTGTAATGGGTTATTATCACTTTAAGTTACTAACTAAATGTTTTATCAAAAGTGTCTCAGTTTTAGACACTTTTAATGCCATAAATATTGATAGGTGTAACTCACATCAACAAAAGCTCTTTTGGGTCCTCCATAATTTTTGAGTATAAAGGATCCTGAGAACAAAGAGTTGGAGAAATGCTGATTTAGGCAAAAGAGCAATTAGTGTATTGCCTAAATGGATGTGGAAAGGGAGAAAAAGGAAAGAAGAGATTAGAGTTCAGTAAATGTTAGGCTGATACATTCAGGCTTACTACTACCATTTTGCTCCACAGATTCAAGGACATATCATTGTTAGATAACGGTGTCGATAGAAAAAAATGCACAACATGAGAGCTGTGAGTCACTATTTATTTGGGGGAAAATGAGGACTATAGCCCAAGAGACAGCATTTCTGATCACTCTGAGAAACTGTTCAAGAGTGGTGAGCAGAGGTGGCTGGGAAGGTTTTGGTGAAGGGGAAGTACATGCAATCGAGCATATACTTTTTGCAGGAGCCTGCTGCTACTCATAAGGAACAGTTGTCACCGTGAAAGATTTTTGTGCTTTTCTCAATATGAGGAGATGCAGGAACGGGGCTCATAAAATTGGTTCCTGAAAACATCTAACTATCTAGAGGCCTGTTCTGTCAGTAATTCCAGGGCACAGAGAGCTTCATTTCTGCTCTCCACCTTGAGCTCCTTTCCATGGTGGGGCTGTTGAAAGTCAGCAGCTGCAGCAGCACATGGTTTAATCCTTGTAGAGGTAGATGGCAAGTGCCAATTTGTAGTTGGCAATGTCAAACACAATTATTAAGTTATAGATCGTTTTGTGCTGGTCTTGGCAGTTTAGACAATTGCATCCAATTTTATAAATCTTTGAGACAAAATAAAAAATGAGTGCCTCGCAGTGTGCTCACCTGCCCTCTTGGGAGAGGAGCTTGACACAGTCCGTGTGGCCGCAGTGCAGGGCGTAGGCCAGGGGCGTGCTCTCATTGATGTCTCGCAGGTTGCCGTCCATACCCAGCTCCAGCAGTGACTGCACACAGTCTGCTTTCCCTGCAGCTGCAGCCCAGTGCAGAGGCGTCCTGGGGGGCCACGGGGGGACAGCACAGTGTCTGAGTACATGAATGATACAGGTTACCTAGCTGACAACAGCTCCTGCTCAAAGTTGGGTCCTGGCAGGACAGACTTGTTGCTACTTAACAGTGTGGAAATGGGATGCACTACATGGGGCTTCAGGGTGATGGTGTATGTGTATAGAGGCCTCTCTAATTCTGATACTCTGTGGCCTTTCCCCTTCTTTGGTCTTTCTGCGAATTTCCTCAAAAAGGAAGTAGTGGGTCAAAGGGGAGGAACAATTTGAAGGCTCTTTATACACAGTGCCAGATTGCCTTCCAAGAAAACTGACTCAATTTTTCCTCCTACCAGCTGTGTCCCTACTCCTTCCTAATATGAAGTGTTATCAACATCTTTCAAAGATCTGTGCCAACTTGGTAGGCAAAATTAGTACTTCAGTGTTGCTTTAATTTGCATTTCTTTAAATAATATGAGGAAGAACCTTTGAAATACATGTTTATCTGACATTTTAGTTTCTTCATTGAAATGACCCTTAATGCCCTATGTCCATTTTTCTATTAGGTTGTTAGCTTTTCTTACTAATTCATATAAGCTTTTAAAATATTTAAGGTATTGGGTTTTTTCTAGGTTTATGAAAACATTTCCTCTGATTTGTTACTTAGCTTTTAATTCTTTTAGTGGTTTTCCATAAACATTTTAAGAAACAACCACATTTATTTACCTCTTCATTTTTGATTTGTTTCATGATTTTACGTTTTAGAAAGTCCTTCATTAGCCAGAAGGTAGATGCATACTCACCAGTGTTTAAACTTTTGATAAATGGCAAGACCATCATTTTCTTAAAAAAACCCAGAGAGTGGGAGAAAATATTTGCAAATTGCACATCCAACAAAGATAGCATGTAAAGTATTTCAAAACTGAACAATAAAAAATATATATACAAATCAATTTAAAAAACTAGTAAAAGATTGAATACTTTATCAAAGAAAGTGTATAACTGGTTAACAAGCACATGAAAAGATGCTCAGTAACATTTTTCATTCAGAGAAATGCAAATTAAAACTACATGGGATACCACTACATGCTTATTTAAATGGCTAAACTTTTTTAAAAAAAGGATTTATATATGTGTATAACTGAGTCACTTTTCTGTATAGCAGAGATTGACACAACATTGTAAATCAACTATACTTCAATGAAAAAAAAAGTTAAAAACAAACAAACAAACCTGGCAATACATGTACGGATGAAGATTCAGGGCCACTTGAACTTTTATATATATTTTTAGTGAGAATGCAAAATGGAAGTAGCCACACCAGAAAATAGTTTGTCAGTTCCTTCTAAAGTTAAGCATACTTACCATATGGCCAAGCAATCTCATGTCTATTATCTATAGCTAGAGAAATGCAAACTTATGTTTACACAAAAACTTGTACACAGTTTATAGCTGTACTGTTTGTACAGTACAAAAGTATCATCCAAAAGTATAAACAACCCAATGTTCTTCAGTATGTGAATGGACAAACTATAATTTATCCACAAAATGGAATACTACTCAGCAGTAAAAAGAACAGCCTACTGGTATATGGAACATAGATGAATCTGAAGTGCATTCTACCAGGTGAAATAAAGCAATCTGAAAAGATTACATATTGTATATTTCCATTTACATGACATTCTGGAAAAGGCCAAACCCAAGAGAGAGATCTAATCCATGACTGCCAGAGATTGGAGATGGGGGAAGCCTTGACCATAAAAGGACAACCTGAGTTGGTGTTGGAATTGATGTCATTTTTTTGGATCTGCCTTGTGGTGATTGCATGAATCTATTTATGTGTTAAAATTCATAGAACTACACATCCAAAAAAAGTAAAGTTTACTGAATGTAAATAAATCAGAAACCAATATTTTATTCTAGATTTCTTTGGATTTAAACAAAACTGCACGTGTATCTGAATGTGTATTCTGATATATGTGGTGAGGTGTGGAGCCAATCTGACTATTTTTCCAGTTACATAGCCAGTTTTTCTCAACACCATTTATTAATGCAGTGGAATCAAATTTTAAGATCCTGAACTGTGTACACACTTCTCTACCCATCCCCTTTCCTCCATATAAGGATATGGTTGACTTTATGCTCAACTTCAAGGAAGGGATATAGCAGGGTAGATAAGAGAAATAGTCAGTGTCTTCCTGTTTCCAAAAACCAAGCCCAGAACTGAGAGCAGATGTGGAGCAAAACAGTTCCCCAGTTTCTTAATAGTAGAAAGAACTATTAAGGCAAATGGGACAAGAAGGTGATAAGAGCATAAAGGACCACTGGACTCAAGAAGAAAGGGGACCTGAACCTTGCTTCTTTGGCAGAGATGCTGGGAAGTCGGTGGTTGGGGATGTCTGTGTGGTGTGTCTGGACAGTGGGACTCTGGGGGGCTGAAGAGGGGCATGGTGATAGATGATATTCCTGTGAATGGGGTTTCCCATGAAGAGAAGGGCTATTCTTCCTGTCAGTCCCTCTGGGAGAGGATCAATCCTGGGGCAGGAAAAGAAGGCATGGAAGGCCTCTCCTTGGCTTCATTCTGGGGCTTGAAACCTGGCAGATGACCACCCCTGGAGAGCCAAGAGGTCTCTCAGACATGGAGGCAGTCTGGGGGCCGGACAGAGAAGGACTCAGTTGGGTCTATCTGTGAAGGGGCTCAGGACTTAGTATTGGGAGAGTATCCACGTCCACAGGATGACTAGAGTCCCCATGGGTAGACTGTGTCCTGTGTCAGTCAACCGTCTTACTCATGTTATGATATGGACAGCAATTTGAGGACACTTAATGGAATTTGATTTATTCCATTCTCTTTGAGAGGCCTCCAGACAATATTTATTATGAAACAAGATGAAGCACCAGCCATATTATACCCTCCTGATTAGAGAATATATTGCCAATAAGTTCAGTAGATGGAGGGTTGGACAACACGTCAGGTTTATCAACAGTCAGGTTTATCAGTCAGGTTTATCAACACATGACAATTCTCTTTGGGATATTGTGAAATACTCCTTTACGACAATTGCTGAGTGACTGTACTAATGGTCCCATCACTTCATGGCAAATAGATGGGGAAACAATATAAACAGTGAAAGACTCTACTTTGAGGGGCTCCAAAATCACTGCAGATGGTGACTGCAGCCATGAAATTAAAAGATGCTTGCTCCTTGGAAGGAAAGTTATGAGCAACCTAGATAGCATATTAAAAAGCAGAGACATTACTTTGCCAACAAAGGTCCGTCTAGTCAAATTTATGGTTTTTCCAGTGGTCATGTATGGATGTGAGAGCTGGACTATGAAGAAAGCTGAGCACAGAAGAATTGATGCTTTTGAACTGTGGTGTTGGAGAAGACTCTTGAGAGTCCCTTGGACTGCAAGGAGATCCAACCAGTCCATCCTAAAGGAAATCAACCCTGGATATTCATTGGCAGGACTGATGCTGAAGTTGAAACTCCAATACTTAGGCTACTTGATGCGAAGAACTGATTCACTGGAAAAGATCCTATTGCTGGGATAGATTGAAGGCAGGAGGAGAAGGGGATGACAGAGGATGAGATGGTTGGATGGCATCACTGAGTCTATGGACATGAGTTTGAGCAAGCTCTGGGAGTTTGTGATGGACAGGGAAGCCTGGCGTGCTGCAGTCCATGGGGTCGCAAAGAGTCGGACACGACTGAGTGACTGAACTGAACTGAGAGTGATTATATTAATTTCTCTTGAGGCAGGAGGTAGATGGCCCCCAGGGTAAAGTTTAGAAATTCATTCTTTGTGGACAGAAACTACAAACTATCAATAGCAGGACAACTGAGAGAGGAGGCTGGGCCCTGCCCAAACAGAAGATAAAAGCCCACATATTTCTCATTTTTTGAAGTCAGGAGGCCTCCCAACTGCACATGCATAGAAAGGCTTCTTGGAGGTCAAAACGGGAGTGATGCTGATGCCACCCAACCATAAGCCTCTTTCATCTTGGCTAAGAGATGTGTGTGTGCACATGGGAGGCTCCTGAGGTATAACAGATATGAACTCTGAACCAGGCAAATTAAAACGATTGGCCAAGGAAACCTGGAAGAAATGCCCCATATAAGTAACTTAAACTGCCATGAGGGTGCAATTCTTCCTCTGAGTCCACCTGTGTGTCTATCCACATATACTGTACTCTTTTTCCTCCTAATAAATACTTTACCTATTTCACTACTTTCAATCTTTGTGGGAATTATTTTTCTGCACGCTGAAGGGCCAGGGCCTTGTTCCTGATCTTTGGTCTAGTGGCTGGGATTCAGCTCTCTCACTGTTGTGACCCGACCTCAATCTCTAGCCAGGAATTGAAGCCCTGCTTCAAACGAGGCAGGCTGAGGCAACCTGAGATCATTCTGAACATCAGCATGGAAGAAGAGGTCCAGAAGGACACAGGGCAAAAATTATTTTGCAGAAACAAGAGAAGCATAGATAACTTCTAACTAATACACATAAAGCCTTTGCAGGCACTATGTAGTATCCAATTTCAAGTTATGTAAGTTGCAGTCCCTTTCTTATCTCTAAGCTTCAGGATCGTCTTCAAACATAGCAGATTGGGTTCAGTTATCACAGTGAGGAGCTGGAGAACCAGGGCCCATGATTCAGAAGAAATTCATCAGAGGCAAGCAGTGGGCTGATGAGGTGGTCTCTGAATGACAGGAGATGATAGGTACAAGAATGCAGTGTTGGTAAGGTGTCAGAAGCCAAGGAACCATTTATGGAACATGCAAACATTCCCTAGATAATTCCCAGAAGTATGTAGGGAGGAGAGTAGTTTGATTAAAGACTCTCCTTCCTGAAGATAAATGACTTGGGTACTAAAGGAAAGCATGACTTCATAGACTGATGAAATTTGGGACCTTTAAGCTATACAAGCTATTTATGAGTTATGTGTTCTGTACCATCAATCTTAGGCTAGCACCAACATGTTTTAAAATGCCATAGATTTATGATGTGTTTTAATAATCTAGGAGGACTAGTTGCCTCATATTTTCCCTCATCCTCTTTTTTTATTTTTTAAAATCATTGCCTTATTTTTCTTCCTTTTTCTCGAAAACTTTCTCTCTGGAAAAAAAAAAAAGAAGGGAAGTGAAGCCACAATTGTTGCCAATGCTTCAATCCTTAAACCTATGAAAATTTTGAAAAATTCTCTACTAACACAAGCTTACAGTGTCAATGTGAAGGTAGAGCTATACAATGTAGGATGCAAAAACTGAAACAAAATGAAGAGCAAGATGAGCTGAGCTCTGGAGCAGAAACTAGACCCTACTTGGGATTTTACTTCACTTTGAACCTTCGTAGGGCCCAATCTTTCGCACTTTCTTACTCCCTTTGGATATACTTTCTTCCCTGAGACTGGGGGAACTAAATTTTCTCTCCTAAGCATGGGAGAAATATCAGTAACCTCAGATAAGCAGATGACACCACCCTTATGGCAGAAAGTGAAGAAGAACTAAAGAGCCTCTTGATGAAAGTGAAAGAGGAGAGTGAAAAAGTTGGCTTAAAGCTCAACATTCAGAAAACTAAGATCATGGCATCCGGTCCCATCACTTCAGGGCAAATAGATAGGGAAACAGTGAAAACAGTGGCTGACTTTATGTTTTTGGGCTCCAAAATCACTGCAGATGGTGACTGCAGCCATGAAATTAAAAGACGCTTATTCCTTGGAAGGAAAGTTATGACAAACCTAGACAGCATATTAAGAAGTAGAGACGTTACTTTGCCAACAAAGGTCCATCTAGTCAAGGCTATGGTTTTTCCAGTAGTCACGTATGGATGTGAAAGTTGGACTGTAAAGAAAGCTGAGTGCCGAAGAATTGATGCTTTTGAACTGTGGTGTTGGAGAAGACTCTTGAAAGTCCCTTGGACTGCAAGGAAATCCAACCAGTCCATCCTAAAGGAGAGCTGTCCTGGGTGTTCATTGGAAGGTCTGATGTTGAAGCTGAAACTCCAATACTTTGGCCACCTGATGCAAAGAGCTGACTCATTTGAAAAGACCCTGATGCTGGGAAAGATTGAGGGTAGGTGGAGAAGGGGACGGCAGAGGATGAGATGGTTGGATGGCATCACCAACTCAATGGACATGAGTTTGAGTAAACTCTGGGAGTTGGTGATGGACAGGGAGGCTTGGCATGCTGTGGTCCATGGGGTCACAAAGAGTCAGACACTACTGAGTGACTGAACTGAACTGAAGCATGTGATAATTCAAGTGGGAAATACTGTATTAGAGCTGCTTCTAGAAGTATTTTGAAGTAAGCAAACTTTTTTCTAGCCCTATTTTCCTAAATGTGTTCCTTAAAAATATTTTTTTTCCCCTATTTTTCTTTATTTGGCCACATGGCATGTATTCCTTGACCAAAGTTCAAACCCCCACCCCCTGCATTGGAAGCAAGGCATCCTAACCACTGGACCACCAGGGAAGTCCCCCTACATGTGTTCTTTTCTTCGCTTTTTGGATCATTCACCTTTTCTCTCCATGTAACAAAATCCTTCCACTTTTTTACCTGCTCAAGTTCAATATCTACTCTTCAGAAAAGGTCTACTTTCAATTATTTATATATTACTTTTAATTAAGGTCATCCTGTTAACTGTCTCCAGCTTCTGAGACTTACATGGAACCCAAGATTTCTTTATTCTGTGTTATAAGGGTTTCAGGTATCAGGAAGTAGTAGGAAGTGCTTCTTGGGGAATCGAAAATCATGGAAGTAGGTGGCTAAATTTGCACTTCAATAGAAAAAGCTTAAAAAAACTATGCATAATGTACAAGCCTTATACTTGTTTTCAACAGTCTTATTTGTTCTTATATTATTCTTATATTTTCATTGAGTCTAAAATGCCTAACTGAAGCAAAGGTTAGATAAGCATTGTAACTGAAAAATTCTATTAGTTGATTATGGATGAAGGGCCAGTAGGTGAAAAGCTCTACATTTAAAAGACAAGGGTACAAGTTTTCTTTGAGTTACACAAGGTTGTGATCCATGTGACCATTTTGGTTAGTTTTCTGTGATTGGGTTTTCATTTTGGAGGCCATGGATTTAGTTCTTACTTCTTCTGTCAGCATATTAAAAAGCAAAGACATCACTTTGCCGACAAAGGTCTGTTTAGTCAAAGTTAAGGTTTTTCCCGTAGTCGTGTATGGATGTGAGAGTTGGACCATCAAGAAGTCTGAGCGCCAAAGAATCGATGCTTTCCAACTGTGGTGCTGGAGAAGACTCTTGAGAGTCCCTTGGACAGAAAGATCAAACCAGACAATCCTAAAGGAAATTAACCCTGAATACTCATTGGAAGGACTGACGCTGAGGCTGAAGCTCCAACACTTTGGCCACCAGATGCGAAGAGCAAACTCAATGGAAAAGACCATGATGCTGGGAAAAATTGAGAGCAGGAGGAGAAGGGGACAACAGATGATGAGATGGTTGAATGGCATCACCAATGCAATGGAAATGAATTTGAGAAAACTCTGGGAGATAGTGAAGGACAGAGAAGCCTGGCATGCTGAAGTCCATGGGGTTGCAAGCAGTGGGACTCAGACTGCACAACAAGTTTTCACTTAGTTGCTAATTACCTCTTAGGCAAGTCTCTTCACCTTTCTGGACTCAGCTTCCTTTTCTATGTAAATACATCTTTAATGACTGAAGAAAACCAAAACAGAACCCTGATAAGGGCACATCTAGTTCTGAACACAAAGCCTCTATTGTGCTCTTCTCTGGATAACAAGAGCTTGTTGATTTTATGACATAATCCAGGAATGAAGGAAAAAAATTAGACTTACTGTTAAGAACAAAAAGTGTATATAGCAGGAAGCTGGTATACAGAAAGCCTTCTGAGAACAGTTAGCAAAAAGTGGAAAGTCTGACAATATAGTCACAGCGTTTCTCTTCGTAACAATGGTTTTTCCTGTCCTGACTAATATAGGGCAGTTTTTATTGTCACAAGCCCAGGTATAAATATTAACATTACTGGCAGTTAGGATATAGTCATATAAGATAACTCCTTAAACATCTTCTTTGTTTTGAGATTAAAATTTGGAAAAGGTGACAGAGTGGCCACGTATACCTGTCGTCCACATCCAGAGCCTGCAGGTTGCACTCAGGGACCCTTGCCAGCTCGTTGATGATGTCACAGAAACCTGCTGCTGCGGCGATGTGCACGCATGTCTTGCCACTCTCATCGTCGTAGTTGATTATGGACGGACCCTGGTGATGGCTCAGAATGATGGAACACAGAATTCTATTTCCACTCTGGAAAACAGTCAAAGAAAGCTCATTATGTATAATCCAGTGCTCTTCCCTGTCCGTGCAAATTAAGATAAAAATTCAAAGCAAAAAAAAAAAAAAAATTCAAAACAAACACACACAAAAATAAAATGCATTTTATCAAACCCACCAACAGATTTCCACTTGTCTCAAGTCCCAGTAGGGATTTTTGTCTCCTGTAAGAGCTAAATTGTCTTCCATAGTTAGTGAACTAAGGAGGACTTAAGGTATGTGGGTGCTTAGTCAGGTCTGACTCTTTGTGATCCTATGGACTGCAACCCACCAGGCTCCTCTGTCCATGAGATTCTCCAGGCAAGAATACTGGAGTGGGTTGCCATTTCCTCCTCCAGGGGTCTTCCCCACCCAGGGATCGAACCAGTGTCTCCTGAGTCTTCTGCACTGGCAGGCAGATTTTTTACCTTTGATCACCTGGGAAGTTCAAGGAGGACTTAAATACGGGTGTAATTGACTGACATCAGAGCTAGCATGATGGGTGGGCCATCTAGATAACTTCCCCGTTAAGTGTATGCATCTTATTTCCCACTTGCTGTAGAGGTTGACCCCTCAGAAGCTGGCAGAGTTAATTTTAATATTAACAAAATGACAATGATGAATACTGACTAGTGGCATAATGATGACCAAAATGATCTGGTAATAGTCAAATTGCTATAAGTTGCATGTAATTTAGTTGTCAAAAATCCTTTTTGAACAGAAGTGGGTCATAATTTAGTAGCTAATTAATAAAGAAACAAACCAAGTATGAAAAGGAAAGAGCTTCAGGAAACCATTTAAATTGGATCCCTCTCTCTGTGTAGATCTATAAGTTTTTATCTTATCTTTGGAATGAGATTTCTCTACAGTCTTTTTAGCAACCTGTCCCAGCCTTAAAAGTCACCAGCTTTTCCTTGAGATTCAATCCCTGTGTCGGGAAGATCCTGGGCATGGCAACCCACTCCAGTATTCTTGCCCGGAGAGTCCTACGGACAAAGGAGCCTAGCAGGCCACACAGTCCACGGGATTGCAAAGAGCTGGACATGACTGAAGCAGCTTAGCATGCCTGCACTACGTAAGCATTTGCAATTTAAGATAACAATAAATCCTCAAATGCCAATAAAATAAATTCATTCTATCTCACCCTGTGGAAAGTCTTATCTTCCAGTTTTCTACTGATACCTGGGTAAAGATTATAAAACAGTCCGAATAATTCACCTGCATTTTCTCATTGAATCCACAGAGACCCTGTATCTCTAGGCAGCAGGACCTATGGGTAGAATGGAGGTCCCTTGGAGGCATGAGGAGCAGGTTAAAGAAATGGGAGAGATAGGCTGTAGTTCTGGGGGCCAGGAGCCAGGTCACATGCCAGACTCAGGGTCCCTGGGCTGAAAAGGAGTAATGAACTTTTAAAAAACTGCAATTCTAATACACTCCAAATGCTGTTCAACAGCCATCTCATAATAAATTTCCCAAGTATGTAACATTTCTTTTGGCATTCTTCCCACTTGATTATTTGACCCCAGGGTTGTGTTTTAGAACCTCTGAGTCAGTTTGCACAATTCCGTGGAACAGAACCCATTCATTTTGGCTTTTCCTCTTCCTTTCCCTCCCCTGTCCCTGTTTGCTCCAAGAACTCTCCGGATATCCTGTGACTCAGCATGGCTTCTCAGAGAACCACTACACAGTGAACCCTGCAGTGTGCGCCCCCTGTATTGGGGACAGAGGCTGACACCAGTTCTGAAAGCTCTCGCAGGCCCAAAGGCTGAGGGCAGCAAAGCTCTCAACTTTGAGCCCCAGGAAGAGTGCTGAGTGTGTTTTAAATGCTATAACCATGGCCAGCTATATAATCTGTGGGGCCCAGGAAAAATGTGGAGCCCCCTGCTCACATGCCAGAGGAATAATGTGTTCCTTTCTTCCGTGGTATCTCTTTTGACCTGTCATGGCGAGTTTTATTTGCTATTTAGTGTCACACTCGGTCCCTGGAGGAGGGCATGGCAGCTCACTCCTGGGTTGCCTGGAGAATCCCATGGGCAGAAGAGCCTGGTGGGCTACAGTCCTTAGGGTTGCAGAGTGGAACATTATTGAAATGACTGAGCAGGCTCGCAAGTCACACTCCCTTGGGCTGGGCATTCTCCCTGTGAGTGCAAGCCCTCCCAGGTGCCTAGGGCTCTGGTTTGTCATCCAGATCCTTCCTGAGTCTATCATCCCCAGAGCCCTGCCAGGGGACTGAGGACACATCCATAAAGTAGCCCCTGCCTGCTACCTTTAGCCTTCCGTCCGTCTCACCTTCCCCCTTACATCCTCTTCTCCCTCCATCCTTCCTTTGTCTCACGATGACTTTTAAATAATTTGGATCAATGAGTTCAGGTCCATGACATGCCTGTCATCAAAAGCTTGCTACAGTGAACACATCTAAGCTTTCATGCCTGCTTTATCAGCTTTCCTAAGATTCTTTCACCTAATGTTACTTAAACATATTTTGAGGGGTCTGACATATGTATATTTAAGACAATCGAGAAGCCCCTCTCCCCTTTTAAGAAGCACTAGCCATTGGAGAAGTAAAATAGAAGCAAAAAAGAGTGTCCACTCAGTGAATTGATTTTGTTTACAGTTTCCTGGAAGAGCAAGGGAATTCAGCTTGCCAAAGTGTTTTAAAGAGCAAAACAGCCTGTCACGGGTTCTCTTTCTGTGTGGGATGGAGTGTCAAGCACAGATGGAAAAAACACACTCGTCTACGCACTGTCTTCCTCCCTCCTTGCCTGACCCGTGGAGGAGCCATTTTGGAAGCAGCCAGCTTAGATGCGGGGTGGCGGTGGGCTGCAATCCGGCACATCTGAGTGGGCCCCGGCTGAGTTCACAATTCCCTTGTGAGCTGGGCTCTTACATGGCTTTTCTGGATAAGAAAGATTTCACCCGCTTACCCCTTTCCTCCAAAATACCTTTGTCCTGAATCTTTCAGACCATTCCTTTGTCTCCAAATCTAACCCTCATTTACATCACCATTGTTTTTATAATAATGTCCTCCCAAGAGTAATGGTGATAGTGATGTTTACCGAGTGAATGTTCTGTGCCCAGCACGGCATGTTCTCACTTGTTTAATCCTGACAACAACTCCATGGTTGTCAGGACTAAACAAGTGAGGACCGTAAGGTAGGTACTCTTACCATCCTCATATTGTAGAGGAGAAATTGGAGGCACGGAGGGATTCTGTCTGTCTGTGAGTCGCTCGGTCGGGTCTGACTCTGCGACCCCAGGGACTGTAGCCTGCCAGGCTCCTCGGGATTTCCCAGGCTAGGGTACTGGAATGGGTTGCTGTTTCCTTCTCCAGGGCATCTTCCCAACCCAGGGATCGAATCCAGGTCTTCTGCATCACAGGCAGATTCATTGTCCAGTGTCACAGCCGTGAGGTGGCAAGGCTGGGACTGACTGCAGAGCCCTGGCACTTTGCTGTTACATTATTTTGTCTTCAGTTAAAGGAATGGTTTATTTATTTGATCCTGCATGTTCACACGGGAGGAATTAAAGTGAAAACTGCTGTTGGTATCAGCAACATCAGTAGCAGTGAAGTGTGTCTTACCAACTGAGACCTTCTCTCCACATTTGGTCCTTTAAGAGCCTCTTCCAGGAAGGTTGCATGGTGCACCCTCACAAGAATTTGAGAGAGCCCTAGTGGGGTCCCTAGGGCTTCCCTGGCGGCTCAGTGGTAAAGAATCTGCATGCAATACAGGAGATGCAGGAGACGCGAGTTTGATCGCTGGGTTGAGAAGATCCCCTGGAGAAGGGCATGGCAACTCACTCCAGTATTCTTGCCTGGGAAATCTCATGAACAGAGGAGCCTGGAAGGTTATAGTCCATGGGGTTGCAAAAGAGTTGGACATGACTGAACGACTAAACAACAAGAAAGAGAGGTCCCTAGTTTGTGAACAGAGGCCCTGGCTCAGTGGTCTCCTGGTAACAACATTCGCTTCTGAACATCCATCAGATGGAGTCTCCAGGCCTGGGAAGCCTCGGTCACAGACACCAGGAAGCATCAGGAGAGAAGACATGGGTGTTGCCCAAGGGCCCCTAGGAAGATTGGAGAGTGAATTTCCATTTGGTGGGAGTATCGTTCAACAGGGGAAGAATATTGTATAGATCTTATTATGCAGCTCTAGAATTCTGCATTGGGTGGCCAAATGAGATTGTGGGTTTATTTCTTTTTCTTTTATTGTGTTGTTTTTGTCTGTGGGTAATCCATGAAATTGCCTTCATATAACTTAAAGACGGCTGGGAACTACTGAGTCCTAGTCATTTTCTCTTTACACCTCATGAAGGAGAAAAATTCATAAAGGCCTTGCTAAGAAGAAAGTTAGGTTAAGATACAGTAATTTTGTTATCAGAGACTGATAAAAAACAAGATTTCAATATCCTGATTGTAGACCCTTTTTATTCTAGGTGACTTCCCGAGAAATCTTAGTGCAAGATTTAGGATTAGTTGTTTATTTGTTAACATGTTGGGGAAATTAGTTCTATGGTGGGTTCTTCAGGGAGGGAACTCCAATCTCTGCCCTTCTCTCAGAATCAGGGGGTCTGATTGTCACATGACAGTGACTGCACAAAGGAGATGAAAGGGTTTTACGTCATGTGACCCTTTTAAAGGTCTAGGTGGTTCTGTGCTGTGAGAAGAACACTGACCCTTAAGTTCCGCTGGAGCCAAATGTGTTAGACTGGAATGGAGTTGGAGGGGAAGACCTACTAGCTTGTGAACTAGTAGATTGTGAACACATGAGAGTTGAGGGTTTGTGGTTGACTAGGAGAGAAGTGATGGAGAAGGCAATGGCACCCCACTCCAGTACTCTTGCCTGGAAAATCCCATGGACGGAAGAGCCTGGTAGGTTGTGGTCCATTGGGTTGCTAAGAGTCGGACACGAATGAGCAACTTCACTTTCACTTTTCACTTTCATGCATTGGGGAAGGAAATGGCAACCCACTCCAGTATTCTTGCCTGGAGA